GAGAGCCCGGCCCTGGGATCTCGGGGGCGCCCCAGGCCTCTGGATGGGGACCGAGCAGTGCTCTGTGGGAGCCCCAGCCCCAGTGATGAGAACCCCTGGAAGACACTGCTCTCGTTTCTCTCCCACAGCCCCTCGCGGAATCTAATACCGTCACATTTCACGTGTGGGCACTGGAAACCACTTCTAAAGGCAAATTCTCCCCCTACAGATAGTGAGGATTTCGTTAATTAATTTTATGAGGACTTAAAGTGAACTTTAGTGGTAGAAGGTGTCCCATTAGGCATCCTCATAAAGACTGGTATATCTTCAGAGAACGGGAACGCAGCTTGTGTGCATACAAAATTACAGTGGGTGTGTAGGAAGGGCTTCTAGAGATGAGAAAGCACTTTATAGACAAATTATTTTCAAGGTCTCATTAGGTAGCACACAAAAAAGCATGCCCATTTTTTAAGACAAAGAAATATCACTGAGGTCAACTGAGTTAAATATGGGATTTTCTACTCTGCACCGGCCAATGAGTTGGCACTCATTCTACTGCCCGGTCCTTAACAATCGCATGCTGGGCTGGACCCTGCACAATTTGTCAAGTGCTGCTCTCTGACCCTTCACACCGTTACTATTTTATTTCCAGCAATTCCTTTTGTTTAGGGTCATCTTTTCCCTAGCTGGCAAAATCTGGCTTTACCTATGGGAATTATATGATACAAATCTGTTGTTTTGTCTGCCTCCAGAGATACTGCCATGTCAACTGTTTGGTCAAATAAGCAAGGACTGTTTTGCCGAACAGAGAACCATTTTGTCTTAAGGTGGGTGACTTAACTGAGGTCCCTCAGTCTCTGACCAAAACGAGTAACAAAGTAATCCGTCTAATTTTCCCATTAATTACTCAGACAACTAGAGGGAGGCCCAGTTTAATAAAAACAGATGAATTCCAATCTTTTATTTGATGCTTTTCTCAAGCCACGGCACTTTAAATCACATGATCTCATTGTATTTAGATTGTTTTAAAACTTCCTTTTATTTTATAGTACAGTGAGTTCAGTGTTACCCAAGCCCTGTTTAACTGTAAGCCAACCTCTACTTCAGTGGAAACTGGCTCTGGTACGGTATGAACGAGGGCTCTCCTCATCAAACTGTCTCGAAGTCATCAAGGCTTTATTTATGAAGATGTTCTTTTTTTCTGCCAATGCTCTTGGAAACGATTTAGAACCTTATAGTTCCTGGGAAATGTGGAGGAAACAGAACTGTCTGACATTCAGTTGGAAGCTTTTATAAGATTGTTTGCGTTCCTAACAAGAAACTTCAGGAAATCAGTACTTCACTTGTGGGGTAGGATGCTGAGAAATGGGCACTTGCTCATGCCATAGGTCACAGAGAACATTGACATACTGTAATCCATGATGATTTTGGAAAGCCATATATTTGACGATATTAAAAAAGGCCTTGGGGATGCTCAAGCCTTTTAATTTGCCTGTTTTGAAAAATCAAAGCAAAACAAGAAAATCGAAAACATAGGTGAGCCATAGGCCCAAACATATTCCACGGCCAGTATTAATGATAGATGAAACGTGGAAGCAAATTAAATTGTTCAACATAAAATGACTAGTTGAAGAAAGTGTTGTTTATCTACTCAATGAAGTTAACAGTGAAGGAGCACACAGAATGGCATATTTGGGTACATATTTTGAAAAACAGCATCTCCCTTGAACAGTAAAATTGCCCCCCCCAAAAAAAACCTAACCAGGTTGAAAACAATGCCTCTCCTTCTTTCTTCTTTCCTCTTTCCTTCTCCTCTTCTTCCTTTTATTACAAATTCAATGGAGGTTTATAATGCAGATCCGTTTTCCATGCAACACTTGATATATACAGTGAACCCTTGTTTATCGCGGTTAATC